GCCTATATATACATTATAGCAACGTGTTAGGGAAAACAACTCCCAAATTATGGAGTAAATGTAAAGCCAATTTGCGCTAGTGTGTACGCGCGTGTACATTAGCGCACATGGCTGTAACAACATTTTTTGCGCGACACGACATCAGGGGGACACCTCAGGTGACCTGCTTTTTATTTCACACTGCTCATGTGTCATGCGAACCCGTAAAAGTGTAAAAAAAAAAAAATTAAATTCACGTAAAAACCGGCATTTTCGTTATTTGTAAAATTGCGTGAACCATGTAAAAAAAAAAAAAATTATCCACGCGTGAAAAATGTTTCACCATTGAGGAAACTCAATTTTTTTTTTTTTTTTTTTTAGTATGGGAAATTTGTTGCGATCTATTTGGCCCTTTTAAATGTGGAACGGGAGAGAGGCAACCTTTTGTCATATTTCGCGCTTTTGCGCTTCCGCTTGCAAATTTGCAAAAGTGTACATGCGTGTAGGGGCTTGGTAAGGGTGTACTAATTCGGGGGAATTCTCACATGCGTCATTTGAGAAGGAGCAGGCTACGAGTCCACACACAACACACACTCACATGTAGGAAGCCAACGTCAAGTTCGACATCTCGCTCATGCGAATATTACGTGATTGTTCCCTCCAGGTTTTTAAAAATTTCCTCGCCAAGTGACCAACCGCAGGGAAAGACGTGCCCGCCTTTTATAGCCAAACAAATTTCTTATAAAAAAAAAACATATCCCCCCTTTTGGAACATTTCCCCCCAAAAAAGAGAATGTTACACGTTTGTACATACGTGGTAAAAAATTCCTGCACACATGTTTAAGCATCCCAATGTGATATCTCGCGCAAGCAGAGGGCTATACCATTTCAGTTCCAGTTATTAAATATATCTTTGCTAAAAAAAAAAAAAAAAAAAAAAAAAAAAAAAAAATTCAAAATAGCTGTACGTAGCTCGTGCTACGTAACAAATTAAAAATTCCATTTTTGTTAATTTTTTTTTCTTCGTTCATAAATTCATATTACATTCCCAGCAGCCTATCGACCGTGTCTGCGGGTTTGTTCGTTCTGTCCTGGATCCACTGCTTCACCAAGGAGATGTTGTTGTTCCATCTTTGACCATGAAAAATGGAAAAAAGAAAAAAAAAAAATGGTGCTTTTTTCCACGGAAATGTGTGCAATGTTAAAAGTGGCAGTGCCGCTGCACCAAAATCGTGGCGCTCGTAACATTTTCGCACCTCTGAATGGACTCCAAGGCGCACTCATTTTGCATCTTCATCTTTTCTATCTGCTTTATATCCGTCTTCTTCACATTTTCCAGCTCTTTCTTTTTCTTCTCTAAATGGCTCATTAGCGTTTTGGCTTCTTCCATCTTGTCTCTCAGTTCGTCCTGCGTGTGGAGTGCGGTAGTGGTGTAGACAGGTAAACATATGCAAACATAAACATGTACATACGAATATGCACACTCACGAGCGGCGAACTACGGATAATGAAAAAGCAAAGAAGAATCGCTCCCATCCTACCTGCGAAATGTTTAAAGAGTTCACAAATTCTTCGTAGCCCTCCTTCTCCCTTTTGGCGTTCTCTTCATACTCTTCCTTCTTTTCCCTTGCAAGGACAGAAGTGTTTGTGTGGGCTTGTGTTACCTCCGCTTCTTCGTTTTTTTTTTTTTT